TTACTGCAAAACGAATACTGCTTAAAATATCAATGTAGTCAAACATATTGTGTGATAATTTTATACAAAAACAATACAAGAATGTGATCTCGTCATGATTTCAAACTCGGAAAGTCACACACTTTGTGAGGATAAGACTTTAAATCTTGTGAAGTTACATGATCTTTTTATATTAAATAGCCCAAGAACCTAGTTTGAACTTTTGAAGAGAATTTCGATTTTATTTTTATGATATGTGAGAGTCCCAAATAAAGCTGCAATATTGAGGTTCAAGGCAAATTTATTAGAAAATCATTTGCTTATTCATTCAAGAAACACACGTTCTTTACATGTTTTAGTGGCTAAGTAATCAGTATGTAGTGTAAAATTAAGCTTAGTGTTGGAAGTAACACCAAGATCACAGCACCTGAGTTTGCATGGAACAATGGTATGGTTATTAAACAAGGATATAATGTAGGCTTTGATTTCCTAGTACAGTAGAACGTCGTTTATCCGAATCAATTGGGACCGGACACCGAATGCGATCCATGCAGTATATGAAACTGACACTATGTGAATATTGAAAATCATCACATGCGGGAAACGTGCTTGAAGAAACAGCAAAATAGGTGCAAAATGTCGCAATTTTACCTTTATTGTGGAAAATAATCACTTATCTTTCGCTGTATCCATTGTACACCTTCGTTTTTTCTCTGCAAGGTCTCTGATTCTCTTCAGCAACAGTAGTTGAGTAAGACAGCACTCAGATTGCTGTTCGTACCATTCCATAGCTGTCTCTAACGCAGAAAACGCGTCAGCATTTGATGGATTCTTGCTACTCTAGTTGTTGTTCTCGTCTTCATCCGTTTCATCGTCGACAGGGTTGGATTCTTCTTGCACGGAAGTCACAATCTCGTCAACATTTAGCATTTGAAATCCAGTCTTCTGCATCGCTTACCATCCAGGTTTCCACATCTTCATCGCATTCTTGAAATCCTCGGGTCGATTGGACGAAATCGGTAATCTCCTCCCTGTGGTCGTCATTGTAGTTTTTTTCGCCTTCTAAATTGACAAAAGTTGACAAATAAAAACTGGTCCGGATATTTGACACTCCGGACGATAAACGTACGGATAAACGACGTTCTACTGTATATTCAAGGATGCTATCCTTCTCAATATTGAAAGAAAATTCGTTATCTGTGCTCCTTATTTAAACAAATAAACGAGATCATTTCATAAAAGATATTGGATTGTACCAATCTAAATAATATTAAGTCGTTTTTTTTCAAATAAAGGAACTCAGATAATTTTAAAATGCTACAAATGTCATTAACGAATAAATTAAAAAACATATCTATTGTCAGATTTCTAGGGGGACAACTGATGTATTCGTAAAACCATCAGACACAACATTACTGGAATAGAAAAGTGTTCGATTACATAAATAAAAAAAAATCCAATCTATAAGATAAACATGAAAACCAATATAGTTTTTTTTTATTTCTTTAAAATAGTACCAAAATCAATAGCACAAAGGAAAATAGACTTCAGTATAAATAATACCTAGTTGATAGCCATTTTCAAAAGCGAATATACTTGTATTTGTCAAGGAAAATAAATTTAGTCGTCGAATAATTTGGAATGAAATAATAACAAGTGGATGAAATTAAGTAACTTTGAGGAGAAACTTTCTCAATTCTTACTCTATTTTAGATCACTCTCTCCCTATATATATTATAAATAAATAAATAAATATATATCTTGTTCAAATTTTCAATCGTTAATAGAATAGTTTCTATTGTGATCCATTCAAGTTCAAATACATTTTTTTAAACTTGTAGTGGATGCCGCTTGATGTTAATATTTTTTTCAAATGTTAATTCATTAATTAAATTAAAAAATGAATAAGAAGTAACAAACAAAAATAATAATCCAACAGCATATATAAAAAGCAAAATCGTTCGTTGTGTCCCTGTAGCGCAATGGATAACGAGTTAGACTTCTAATCCAAAGGTCGGGAGTACGAATCTCCCCTGGGATGACCTAATTTCTGAGTATGTGATTTCTTTTTACTATACTATTTAATTGGAAAAAGTAAATTTAATTAATAAATCGTAACAAACGAACAAAAAGTAGTCCAACACCATATATAGAAAGGTGAATAGAAGATTGCAAGGAAAATCGCTTTCTATTTTGCCACTTAATATTGTGATTCTGTCATATGTAAAAACATATTTATATCAATTGTAATTATTTAATAAAAAGTAGCTAAAATATAAAATTTTTCTTAGTTGACCTCAGTAAGAATTGACTAAAAAAAATTTTTTTTTATTACTTGTTATATATATTATACTATCAAATATTTTTAAAAATAGACTCAAAATTGTAATTGGTCGATAAGATGATCTTTTAATTATCTTAGATAATATTATCTTAAAAAATCATTATCTTATAAACAAAAATAATCTTGGTTATTTCCAGATATCATGTAATATATTTGTTTTTAAAGAAATATATTGAAACAAGGATGTCAAACCCACAGTTTTGCATAACTTTTTTATAATAGAAAAGGGTATATGTAATCAATTTCAACAGTTAAAAATATGTTTCAGGTCTTTTACTAAAACCACATAAGTAACAGGGCTCTAAGCAAGACACATAAGTAGTTGACATTGACACAATCTGTGTCATAGTTCGTGCTAGAATTTAAAACAGAGTCAAAGCAATCAGCAAGAGCATTAGAGATATAATTTCAATTATAATTCACACATTGTTGTAGAGAGAGAGATTTTATTCACACAGCAAACAATTATTCTTTTATACTACGACTTATTCAAATTCAGAAATTAGATTACTTTTTGTAATCGGCAAGCAAGTATAGCACAGTCCTTCCTAACATTAATTATACTTCATGATAGCTGTAACATTACAACATTCAATATTAAACAAATTTAAATCTAAATATCTGTTATTGTAGGTAGAATTTGTATTAAAATGCTTCAAATTTTAAAAATGCATTAAATTATACAATTATGCTACAACTGGATTAAAATAGTTATCCATGTAAGATATTAAGTATAATAGATAAATTGAAATTACCACAAACAAAAGTATTTTCGTAAGAACTGAACTTACAGAAACAATAAAAAAAACCTTTTGCGTATCAGGAAAATTTATTACACACAAAAACATTTTTTTCTGATATTTCCAAATTGATCACGACCCAAAGGCTTTCTAGATCTTAATTCAGGAAAGTAGGACTTAGGTATTCGACTACCATTCTGAACCGTGATTTTAAAAAAGCGCATGAATGGAAAATTTTCATGATATTTAGTGTCACTTAGATTAGAATACACGTATAAAATTGTCTTGACAAAAAAAAATTGATTTAAATACAATATTTTTGCAAAAAATTGACTTAGAATAACCTTTTTTAAAATGTTCTTTTATGAAAAATGCTTCTATTATAATAATATTTTGCCTGTATATAGCTCAGACCTCTATACAGAGGCTCAACTATGATTTTTGAAAAGTTCACATTATTTTCGGAGTTATAACCCATTGAAATATAATTATCGGCGTTTTTTTCTTAAAATTTCTCCCCTCTGTTGTCGTAAAACATGGATAAACCCACTTCTAAGTTATATATTTCAAAAATTCTAGTTGAGCCTCTGTAGAGAGATTTGAGCTATATACAGGCAAAATATTATTATAATAGAAGCATTTTTCACAAAAGGAGAATATTTTGAAAATGGGTCATTCTGTGTGTGTTTATTTTTTATCAAAATATTGTACTTAAATAAATTTTATTGAAATACTATTCTTAAAACAATTTTATATACATTTTCTAATCTAAGTGACACTAAATATCATAAATATTATCCATTTATACGCTTTTGCAAAATCATGGTTCTGAACGTAGTCGGATACCTTAAAGGCAGGGGGAAAATTAAAACACCACGTTTACAGCAATTAGCTAAGTCACGATATTTGCGAAAAATGATGTAGTTATATATATATATATATATATATGTATAATCACATAAATCGGAAGATTCAAAAGCTAAAGGAAGTTATTTTCAAAGATTTCTTACATGAAAACAATCAGAAGCCTTAATTTTTAATCCATGGACGCTCTGATAAATTATAGAGAGTAATTTATTAGAGTTTGATACGTTTCTGAAGAATTATCTCAACTCCACAGAGTTATTATAGTAAGTTTTTGGAGCAAAGATCATGTTTGGAGCAAAGATCTCAGTTTAACGTAAAACTCAAAGATAAAGTGATGCTCAGGCCACAGATAGGCATCTAATAACCAGACAGTCAGTTTTATGAGCTTCAACGTTATATGACGCATGAGTATGAAATTTAGATTTGAATCTGGGACACAAAAGGAAATCCATATTTAAAGAATTCAAAAGAGTAAGGTGCATCATTTGTTTTGGTTTTAGGACTTAATCTTGACTCAAAACCAGATTTTTTGCTACTTTGCTTAATCACAACTTTTATGCTCAAAGTATTATTCACACCATTGATAACTAATTTAGAATTAATTGTTTTATTGCCGTCAAAAGGAATGTTAACTCTTAATTTATTTTCTACAGATACAGTTTGGCTACTTTGGGCACACAATTACCAATGTTGACAGTTTCTTGAAATTAAAACTTGAAAAATAATTTCGGGTTACACGCGACACTGACGGTCAGTTTGATTGGTATCAATTTTCGGGCAAATTAGTCTTAATATCATCAACTTTATTACTAATAACCTACCGGAAAGAAGCAAATAAATGTCTTAAATCAGTTAAGATTTGGCTTCAAACCCACATGATCAGTAGCTTTAAGTTGAGCAACTTCATTTAACAAATATCATGTTTGAAATCCTAAAAATATGCTTTATTTTTAACACTAGAAGAGTTCGTTTCGGAAACGAAACAAAAATTTCCATGCATGTCAGTGAGTTTCCCGGCAAAAACTCTTTAACCTTCTCCTTCCTGGTCAAAATCCACGTTGTCCTCAATGCCGCCGTGAAGAGTTTCAACTTTTAACTTCAAAAATACAGTTCAATTTCTGTAGAGCATATGCCATTTTATTTGCCAAATAATGGCTTTCTTTAAAGGTAAATATGTTAACATTGCCTCTTCAAAGCAGGAAGACAAAACAATAAGTACTAAAATATTCGATAGAGTATAGTAGAGTATCAGTCCGTAATATAACAGTGCTCATTTTCATCACTTTTGAATTACGAGATCTGTCAACAAGAGCTCTTGCGTTGGAAACTGCAATGTTAATAAAAATCAAAATCAATCGTTTCTGAGTGAGAGAATGTTTATACGAGGGTTATATATATTGGTGACGGACCTTGTAATTTCGAATTTCAGTCAAGTCACGAAGACAACACACATTTAAGCTAGCATCCCCTTCTCCAAACTACCTTACCATGCTCATGGGAGGTCTTTGAGCCACGAGAGGTTTAAGCCCCGCTATACTGCGGGTGTTCAGTGGCACTAGGCCACGAGTTCGTGGCCGTGACTACTTGCCTATCACGGTTACCGATCATTCCTGAAATAAATGTTTAATGCAGCTTAAATGGCTGTTATCCACAAATATATACCGTTTTCGCCAAAAATAAAAATCAAATCTACATATATGTGGATAATTAAAAATTTTTTTGAATAATTTTAAATTGATGTGACGTTTCACAATGTGGTTGCATTTTATTTTAACAAAAACCAGTGGCGTAACGCAAAATATTAGGCTCCCCGTGCAAAAGATTTTGGGCCTAAGCTGTATCTTACAATGGGTACGTACTTGGCATCAGTCAGGCTTTGTCCCCCCTAGAATCCTGCCCCCCCCGCGATGGCCCGCGTGGGGGTGTACGTTAAGCCACTGGCAAAAAAACTCTTATTTCTTCTTTAGTATTAATTAATATTCCATAATACTAAGGCTCGAAGCCCCAGTTTCCTGTCATGTCTAAATTCAGTTTAGCATATATCATTTCATAACGTGTCCTCATTTCATACCTGCATTTATAGTATAACCACTGCAGCTTCAAAATGTAAAAAAATATAAAGGAAAAAAAGTGTGAGATCGATTGATATTGGAGCCATAATTACGTCGTTTTCTTATCAGTCTCCAAACACTAATCGTCGCAATAGAATTAAAGTGAGCCAAACCACCCAAATAAAGCAGAAATACGGCGCTGAAGTGATGCAAAGTTAAATGAAGTCTTCCAGCGTAGATTACCGATGCAACAGATTAAGTCCTCTTAATCAACTCGATCCACCCCTTGGAACAAGATCATCATGATTACCGACCTCGATAATGCTTCAGTATAGAGTTAGGCACAGCCCGTTGCGCCTTTAACAGCATTTACGAGCTTTCAATTAAGGATTCTCTTGAGCAACCACTGAGTAAATAAATAAGCAAAGTAAGGAAAGGCGGGGGAAAAAAATCCCTAACGAGGAAACTGTAATCATCGGCTCGTTCTCCAAGAATCGTTTAACGAAGGATTTTATATTTAGTAATTACATGCGAGAAATGCAACTTTTTTCCCTTTCACTCTTTCAACGTTAATTTGGAAAGAAATGAAGTGCAAGTTTTTTTCCTCTTTCATGAAAGTAGTAAAATATGATAAGGATCTTGTGTATTTAAGTTCATTTTATCAGGCAAATATGCTTTAAGTAGTTTAGGAAAATAAGAATTTATTTCGAGTTATATATAAAGGCTAATTTCTTTTTTTGTTTGTTTGTTTCTTTGATCGTACACTAAACTAAGTTTTTGGACTTTTTTGCGTTGGTAAAGAACTAATTAAGAAGTTAACATGAAGAAACCATCGGCTATGAAAACAACGAAAGATGATAATGTAAAAAGCACAGGACGTCTGGTTTTTTCCCTCTCTTTTTAAACAATTAGTATTGTATAATTGCAGAAAAACAAATAAAAATTATGAATATGTATTTTACGTTCTGTTTTTTTTTATCGAGAAAATGTCTAAAGCAGAGAAAAATAAATTTGTGAAGAAAAATTAAATAATAAAATC